AGCAGCATTTATGACTTTGGGGACATATTCATATTCATTTTTCTGACCTCCTTTCCTATTTCCTGCCAACTGGAATGTGAACACAATGTCTGGAGCTCAAACAACCATTTTAGCCCTTAAAAAGGCGGATACCACGTCTAAGGATGCCAAGGCATCATGAGTAAATTACCTTGAGAACCTGATGGTCCGGTCAGCTGGGCCACCATCCCTGAGCACTTAACTGCCACACTCCCACTTCGTGTGTCTGAGACAGTGATCAGTTTCCATCTAGGTTAAGCCGTTGCTGTTCTGAGTGTCGTACTCCTTTCACCAAACCCAATCCTGCCTGTTGCCAACACAACCATCAAGCGTGTGCTTATTGAGCACTTACTTTGTGCCAAGCATGAGACAAGTGGGAATTTTTTAAAGGTGGTTTTCCACTTAGTTTTCACAGCGACCTTAAAGCTGGGTGCTAATCCTAATTAACTTGAGCATCAGTTCCCAAATGAGTTTCATTCACTCCACATCATTTGTTGGTTGCTACTACACACCGGGCCAGGCACTGAGGATTCAGCAGTGAGTAAGAAAACTCCCTGTCTTCCGAACACTGACGGTCTAGTGGGGGAAACAAGTAAATGGAAATAACAGTACAACGTGACGATAATAATATTGTATCATCATTTTAAGATGCCATCAATTGCAGGATACACTGTTTTTTATGTACCATCAAAAAAAATAATACTGCCATGAAACTGAGACATGATGTCTTAATAACAATCCCATGTGATGCATGAACCAGTCACACCAACCTCTCATTACTTTGAAATTTTTTATTATCTATTCCAAGGGATTTCACAATCTCTCTGGGCTCCAGTTGCCTTGCTTCCTATGTGACAGGCCCCATCTTCTACACATATCTCAGTAATAAAATACAGCCCAGCTTTAACCATCGGTAGCTTCCTTTCTTCTCCCACAAAGCACTTGGTTGTTGCTTTGGAGGGAACATAGACTATGGTTAGTCTTCTGGTGATGAATATTTGCTTCATTAATATCAAATTTATGCCCTGCCACTGTGTTTTGCATCTTTCGTCATACCCATGAAAGCACAAAACTCTACTGAAGAGCCACGGCCAAGTTTATGCTCCTGCATTCAGTGACACCGACATGCGACTGCCACCTGAGAAGCCCTGATCATAAGACCCTTGACTGTAAGCACAGCTGGGTCTCAGAGATGTGAAGATGTGAAGAAAAGAAAAAAAAGTATGTCTTCCAGAGCCTGGAGGAGAGCAGAATGAGGAATGATGGCTCAGTGTGCGTGGGGCTTCCTTCCAGAGTGATGAAAATGTTCCAGCACTAGATAATGTTGATGGTTGCACACACTGTGCATGCATTAGACGCCACTGGATTGTACCCTTGAAAATGATTAAAACAGTAAATTTTATATTATGTGAATTTCACCATGATTTTTTAAAAGTATGTCTTAGATTTGATCAAAACTGTTTCAAGCCCTGTTCTAAGTACGTGACGTCCCGAATCCAGTGTGGTCCCAACAACAGCCCTCTCCCATAGCTAAGAACGATTGCTACCATCTGTTGACCATGGACCCGTCAATGACTCAGTAAGGGCTTTACGGGCTCCAATCCACTCACCCCTCATAACAGCCCCATCATTCGGTCTCTTCTGCCTTAACACTCGTTCTGGAAATACAAATGTGTTCCCATACGACTGTAGTGCAAGTTTCACTTTTGCTCACGTGTGATTTCGTCCCTGAGAAACAGCAGGTCTGGGGCCGGCAAAACACAGCCCTCCGGCCAGCGGCCTGTTTCTGTACATGAAGTGTCACTGGACACGAGGACACCTGTTCATTTATGTCTGGCCTGTGGCTGCTTTCACACGACGACAGCAGAGTCGGATTGTTGTTACAGAGACTGCACTGCTCTGCAAAGCTGAAAGCATCATAACTTTTTAAGAAAAGGTTTGCTGGGCACCTGGGTGGCTCAGTGATTGAGCGTCTGCCTTCAGCTCAAGTCGTGATCCTGGGGTCCTGGGACCAGGTCTTGCATCGGGATCCCCGCAGGGAGCCTGCTTCTCCCTCTGCCTGTGTCTCTCTGCCTTTCTCTCTGTGTTAAAAGAAAAAAAAAAGAAAAAATTTGCTGAGCCCTGTGTTATGTGAACCCAGAAAACTGCACCCTGCTGAACCGAGCTGTGCAGACAAAACACGCCCACTGCCCTGGAAGACAGACGGTCAGCGCCCAGTTATGATGCAGCACGAGAGAAGGGATTGCTGTGCACAGAGTCAGCGGGAGGGCTCATAGGGTGGAGAAGGCCTTGCCCAGCGTGCAGAACCACCCCAAATGCGGGGGTCTACAGCTAGGCGAGGGGACAGAGCCCCAGAGGCAGGGTGAGCCCCCATTTCTTTCCCCTTGTGCCCACCTGAGGCTGCATTTCCCTGTGGCTCTTTCCCTGATTCAGGGACATCAGCCGTCACTCCTGGGTCCTGGGACACAATTCAACCCACAAGAGACCCTCTCTGGTTCTGTTCCGTGGGATATATCCATGCATCCCTTCTCCCAGAAGACTCGGGAACTTCAGGCTGATCTCAGCACAGCAGCCTGTCCTTTGGTTCGTCCTCTGAGCAGCTGGCCAACCATCTCTAGCTCTCTGGGTCTCTCAAGTGAGAGTCAAGCTCCAGCCCATCTCCCCATAGTGTAGGGATCCCATACTCCTTTCCCTGAGAAGCTCTGACGAACCCCCTCTCGGGCCTGATGCAAGAGGCAGGCACCTCCCACTCCTCTTCCTCACAGAGGACAAACCTGGCACTCAATAACAAGACCCTTTCCCCAGGGCTGTAAGATTTGTAAAACAAGTTTTAAAATGTTTCCTTATAAAATGTGCCCTTTGCTTCCAGTGACCCTGGGAACACATACCTATCATCTTAAGATCTCAGTGGAAACTTCCACCCTGTTACATTGCCTCCTCAGGCCTGAGGAACTGGAGACCAAACAGCCCTTCACAGATGGCCTCCCTGGCTGCCCAGTCAGAGAGAGGTCTCCAGGACAATCAGGCCTCCCTGGGCTTGGCCCCCAACAAAATCCTGCCTGCTCTGAGGACGTGTCTACTGTTAGTAGTGGGGAAGGAAGCCCGATGGGCCTGGTGTATTGCCACTTCCTTGATCTGTGTGACCTTACACAAGCTTTTGAGCTAAGCTGCATTTCCATCATAAAGTGGAGATAAAAAGTAATAATAGCACAGTCCCAATTTCCCAGAGTCATTGTCAGAATTAAATGTGCTGAATATAATCCATGTGGATCCAGTGACTTCGTTCAGCTCCTGGACAACAAGTCTTAAACTGAAGGCTCCTGGACAACCCAGGGCTTCTGGGAAGGGGATGTATGGGGGTCTTGTCCTCAGAGGGTTGACCATCTCCTTGGGCAGAGAATATGCACATAGCTGAAAACAGAAATAACAAGCCATGTCAGGTGAAGCCACAGGGAAGATTCGCATGTTGGCCATGAGCCCAAATCAGAGGCACAGTATGACTCAATAGAAGAAAAATCATCCTGATTTGGGACCACCTCTAAGAGGAGGAGGGCTCGGGGCAAGGCCCCAATAGTAAGATTGGACTGGGGATGGGTGGTGGGAGGGGGAAGACAAGTGAAATTTCTCCCGGTGGTCTTCCTGAGAAGGAGCCTGGACAAGTGTGCAGGGTGTACAGAATTACACCTTTGCCCCACATGTTTATGTATTTAGATTCACAAACCAGAAGGCAAAGTGATGCAGGGGCTGATGGTCGTCTGAGCAACCTTCACGGCTCATTCAAATCACCTGAGCAGCTTTAAGAACTACTGAGGCCCTGGTCCTCCCCTGAGAGACCCCCATATGCTTGCTTTGGGGTTTGATCTGGGCATTGGGGTCTTGAAAGCACCCAGGGGATTCCAATGTGTAGCAGGGTTTCAGGACCACTGCTAGCCTCTCAAACTTCAATGGGAGCAGTCTGGCTTCTGTTTAAAAAACAAAAAACAAAACAAAACAAAACAAAAATAGTGCTAAAAGAGAAAGCAACTTTATTTTTAAATGCCAAAATGCCAGGGTGGGGTGGTGGTGCCACATTTCCACACTACCTTTGCCTGCCTCCAGCCACTGCCCCCACATTCTTCCAGCTGTTTCAATAAATTCAAACTTCTGCTCAAAATGCTTCTTTCCCTTTCTGGAAAATTCTATTCCCAGGAAACTCCCTCCCAACTGTGGAGGCATCTTGTTCTTAGTGCTTTGCTATGCTTGTCAAAGCACTCTGATCCTCCAACATCGTGCAGTTATGCTCAAATGTCATCGAGTTGCAAAGAATTTTCCAGAAGGGCCAGAGGAGCCCTTCTGAAGGAAGCCACTGCAGCAGTGGAGGCCAAGTGGAAAGTGTGGGAGCCAGGATCCCCCAGCCCAAGTTCTGACATGACCACTAACCGGCTGCCCCTCTGAGCCTGAGCTTCCACATCTGTGAAATGGGGGAGGCCTGCGTGACCCCAGGTTCCTCCTCACCCTGGCTCTCCGAGACTTCAGAAGCAGCTCCAGGCTGAACGCGGCGGGGTCTGAGTGCGGCTCACCTCCAGGCTCTGCTTCCTGGGGCCTCTGCCAAGCCCTGGGCCTCTTGCCCAGCGAGCAGTGGGCACAAGGGGCCTTCACAGAGTCTCTGCGTGGTTCTCCTGGGGAGCAGGGGCGGGGAGGCAGGGAGCCTTGCAGACCTAACACAAGGCCTCGTCTGTGTCCAGGCTGAGGGAGGAGTGGACTGAGCCACCCATGGGGACGCTACCTTGCCTCTGGATTTTTCCGTGGCCTTTTTCAGAGCCTTTCATTTGATCATCAAATAACCCTTCAGCAGTGGAGACCGATGAGGACAATTAGCTCCATTTCACATTGAGGGTGCTGAGGAGCTGAGGTGCGGCGAGGCCAAGAAGAGCGGAGGATGCAGTGTGTCAGAGCAGGCAAGGGCGTTGGCTGCTCTGACATTTACATCGTCTTCTTAAAAAAAAAAAAAGGCATACTTCATGAATTTGTGTGTCATCCTTGCACAGGAGCCATCCTAACTCTGCATCTTTCCAATTTTAGCTTGTGTGTGACCGAAGCAGGCGCACCATTTAGACTTTCTAACCCTCAATTTTCTCACCTAAAAAAGTAAATACTCTTAACTGCTCTGGTAGGTCTGCCTACGCTTTGTGGTGAGGGAGGCTCAGGGACACCTTTGGTCATGGGGTGGGACCCAGCAGTCAAGTCACTGCAAAGGCAGGGCCCTGAGAGATCCATGAGAGGCCAAGTGGTGTTCTAGAACTTTCCATATTTTGTCTCCTACCATCTTCACAACAGCCCTGTCTGTCAGGTGCTCTTGGCCCCATTTTGCAGAGGGAGAATGGGAGGCTAAGAGTCCACACACAGGGGCCAGACCCAGTTCTGGGTCCTGTTCTTCCATGACCCTGCGCTGCCTGTTGGATGGGAGTGTAGTTCAAGAGACAAGTTCCGATTCTGTTATCCCTTCCGTCCAGACAGATAGACAGACAGACGGCCTGCAGGACGTGGTCAGGCTCAGCCCCAAGTGCCAACACAGGCAAAGAAACCAGGAAAGGAAACTGCTAAATTTGAGAAACTTATTCTTTGAAATTATCCCCTGCCTCGGACCAGAGGGAGTCTTTAAAGAAAAATTTTATAGGGATTAAAGAGTTCCATATTTTTTAATAACCTAGGAAAACTAGAAGAGAGACTTAAACATTCATCAAATCTCCAGAGGGAGAATGTCTTTTATTAAACTTGGAAATCACTGATAAAAATCACAAAGGAGAAATTAGCCGGTTTGACTACAGAAAAATGTTCTGCATTAAAAAAAAAAGACTGAAAAGGGACAAGTGGAGAGAAATATCAGCAGCAAACAGTGAAGATAAAAGGTTACTATCTGTTTTTATGTATTTGTACTCTGGCTCCTTCCTAAACAGTTATGAGGAGGACGTGCTACATAAAGGACTCATATACACTGAAAGTTTAAAACCAAAGAGCCTTATAGATAACAAGGCAGGGGGTACAAAGAAACCATTTACAGAAAGCAAATTGAGACCAGTAAACCAATGTACAGAAAAACGTCCAACCTAACTAACTAACTAACCACCAAAGGAACGCAAATGTCAAATAGACCGGTTGGCACCCAGTGTGCGCATGAGTGTGATCACAATACCCCACCATTCTGGAGAAAAATCATAAATATCATAGGGACCGGAGAACTACAAAAATAGTTGTCCTCTTCGACAGAGTAATCTCACCCCTGGGGATTTTTGCCGAAGATTCTGAAATGGGGAAAGTATGAGGTGAGCAAAGACGCTCACTGAAACATTAAGAAACAAACTAAAGGGGCACCTGGTGGCTCAGTGGTTGAGCGTCTTCCTTTGGCTCAGGGTGTGATCCCAGGGTCCTGGGATCTAGTCTTGCACTGGGCTCCCCATGGGGAGCCTGCTTCTCCCTCTGCCTGCGTCTCTGCCTCTCTCTCTCTCTCTGTGTCTCTCATGAATAAATAAATAAAATCTTTAAAAAAAGAAAAGAAATAAGCTAAAAACTGAAAATGGCCTAAATGTCCTAAAGCAGAGAAATGGTTAACTGAAGTTTGCCCCACCCATTCAATGAAATCCAACTGCAGCTTTTATAAAAGAAGTTCACTGAGACTTATGGTGAATAAAAATGCCTACAACAAAATGTTAAGTTTAAAAAGCTGGTAAAATATCTTAGACAGCAACATATGGCTGTAGTGATAGCTTGTTCTAAGCTTTATATGAATAGCAGGGAAATTGAAATTTATCTGAAACTTTGTTAAAATTTTTTATCTGTCAAAAACTACTTCCTCGCCTTATCGTTCCTAATATTAAACTGTTCTCATTTTTAACTAAAAATAAATAAGTAAATAAATAAATAGCTGGTAAAAATAAGTAAGATAAAAAGCAGGCTAAATACTTGGAGTATTCATAATATATAATTCATATTCTGAATATAGCTATGTGAAAAAAATACACCCATGCCAATATGAGAAAGGCACATCTGTCCCCAACAAGTGCAGACCCCAGGGCAGGGGTACAGACAGAGATCACATACCAAATGCCTAAGTACTAAAGAAATAATTACTTATGAAATTGTTATGAAGTTAATTTAATAACTACTAATTTGCAGTAATATAAATTGAATGGAATCATGAAATATTTAAATTACTTATTTATTAAATACCAAATTTCTGACTAATTTTAGCTAACAAACTGTCACCTAAAATGTCAAATATCCTCTTACTTTGTGATAAGCTAAGATGCATATATCATCCCTAGAAGAACCACTAAGAAAATAACACAGTTTAAAACCAAAAAAGAAATTAACATGGTAGCTATTTAACACAAAAGAAGCCAATAAAGGAAAAACAGGAACAAAACAGACATGAGACGTATCAAAAAGACAGATGTAAATCCAATCATATCAGTAATTACTATTATGGACTGAATGCTTGTGTCCCCCCAAATCCACATGTTGAAGCCCTATTTCCCCCTACCCCCCAACATAATGGTATTTGGAGGTGGTGCCTTTGGGAGGCAATTAGGTTTAGATGAGGTCATGAGGGTGGGGCCCCCATGATGGGATTAGTGTCTTCATAAGAAGAGAGGAACCAAATCACTCTTTCTGCCATGTGAGGAGAGAGAGAAAAGGCAACCATCTACCAGCCAGGAAGAGGAACTGAATCTGCCAGCACTTGGATCTTGGATTTCCAGCCCCCAGAATGGTGAGAAATAATTGTTGTTTAAGCCACCCGGACCATGGTGTTTCGTTATAGCAGCCCAAGCTACAAAGACAATTACATCAAATTATAGTGGCTCTGTTCATAATAGCACCAAACTAGAAATAACTCAAATGACTGTCAACTAGTAAATAGATACACAATGGAATACTAGTCAGCAATTAAAAAGAAACAAGCTCCTGACACATGCTATATCACATATAAACCTCATAATTATTAGGCTAAGAAATTAAAGACTACATATCATATGATTCCATTTATAGGATGTGTCCCAAGCAGGCACATCCAGAGTGGCTGGCTGGGGCTGACAGTGAAACAGGGGTGGCCTGCAAGTGGCCACAATAGTTCTTTGAGGGATGATGGAAATGTTCTAACACTAGATTACAATGATGGTTATGGTGATGCACAACTCTGTAAGTTTACTAAAAAATCATTGAATCGCAGCATTAGGGTGAAATTCATGGTACACAAATTATACTTCAATAAAGCAGTTTCTTTTAATATGCTAAAATTTTAAAAATTTGTGCTACAAATGGTACCATCAAGAAAGTGAAAATACACCCCACTGCATGAAATAAAATATTTGCAAATCATCTATCTGATAAATGACCTGTATCCAGAATATATAAACAACACTTATAATTCGATGAAAAGATAACCCAATATAAAAATGAGCAAGAGAGAAAAACAGACATTTCTCCAATGAAGATCTACAAATGGCCAAGGAACACGTGAAAGGATGTTCAGTACAGCTCTGAAGAGGACAAACATTGCCGCCCTCCTGGAGCAGGTGGGAGGAAAGCGTGCAAACAAATAAATATGTTACAGAAAGCGTGCGTGTCTGCCTCCTTGAGGATGGAGACAGGCCTGGCTGCTTCTCCTTCTAAGGCTTTGTCTGCCTTAGACAGGGAGGCACCTGTAGATCATGAATAGACTCAATGTTTTGATGGATCACTCCTCGAAGAAATCCGCCCAAATCACGCTGGAGATTTGGCTTCGCAAGGAGCATTCCTGCCGTAGGAGGGCAGGGATTTTAGTTATACCCATTCGTGCATTCGCTCATTCATTCACTCAACAGACTGTTTGAGCCTCTTGCATTAGTTAAATCATCTTGTCTGCCAATAATAGAAACCTAATTTAAACTGGCTTCAGCATAAAAGGGAATTGTTGGCTAAAGTAACTAAAAAAGGGCAAGGGTGGCTTGCTTGATCCAGGTGTGCAAACAGCACCATCAAGAACTTCCCTCTCAGACCAGCCTTCCTCTGGTTGGCTCCATTCTTGAGGGAGTGCTCCCTTAGTGGAGGCAAATGGCTGCTCATGGCCCCAGAATCTCATCCTCCAGTTCAACACCCCAAGGACAGTGAGGTTTTCCTCCCCAGCCCTGACTCCCTCTTCTAAGGCTCCCTCTGGCCTTTTCCTCCCAAAGTCCTGCTGGGTTCCTACTGGATTGATGAGTCCTGACTTAGCCTTGACTCATGACTGGGGTGGGGGTGAGCCCTGTCCAAAGCTCAAGGGTTAAGAGCAGGTGAAGGGGTGGCTCCCAGAGGAAAACTGAAGTGCTAGAGCAGAAGCAGAAGAACAGATGCCACATAAACAAACCAAAATAACGAGTGTCCCTACATCCTTTGGCACCAGGCCCATCAGTATGTGATGTATGTGATGCATATAGAATATGGCAGAGAAAATACTGGGGAAATTCAGAAGGTGGGGATTATCTTTCCATAGAGGGAATCAAGGACCAACTAATGAGAAAGTAGGCTTCATAGCAGCCCCCCTTTCATGGAACCACTCAGCCATGTGAGGCAACGGGAGCCACCACCTTCAAAGGTCCTGCCTCCCTGCCAAGGTCGTCCACCCTCCTGGACAACTGGCCCCAGCTCTGAATTCTGGCCTGCAGGAAGGGGGGAATCAAGGAAGCATAGGGCAAGCAAATTCCTTTTAAAGAAGTAACAGAAGTTGCACGCATCCCTCTCATTCCATTCCATCAGTAAAAATGTCATCATGCTTAGCTGCAAAATAGTCTCTAGTTAGCTGGACTCGTGCCGTTACTAAAAGTTCCATTCCTAAAAAGAAAAAAGGGGGAATGGATGGCTCATGGGGGATCTGCCACATACCCCTGAGAGCCACCAGAGTCTCCCTCCAGGGCCTGACTCCATATTTGGCAGGTTGGAGGCTCTCCTACCTGGGGACTGTACAAGGCAAACCACGCCAAAATCTGGTAGCTTGAGACTGCAGCCACTTTCTTGGCTCACAATTTTGTAGGTCAGCAGTTTGGCTGGGCTCAGTTGGTGGTTCTTCCACTGGTCTTGCCTGGGCTCACGCATG